TTAAGCCTTTCTGTTTGCCATGCAAGTCAGAAAAGCTGCTGACAACTCTTTGAGTCTATATGAATTTTTTAAAACCCATCTCTCCTTTTTTTCAGATGAACAAGCAATTTGTCAGTCCTTGGTTTTTGTTTACTTTAATTTACTAGAAAAATCATATTTACCCTGTGATTCCACAAGGATGAATTTGAGAGGTTCATAAGAACACTAAGTTTAATAAAGAGACTATGCCTAGTCCTTGTCATAGGTGAAGACATGCTTGAAAGTTTCTGGCTAATTCCTACTGATAATCCTAGAACATGGGTGGAATAAAATAATAAAATTCAGAGTTAATGTGGTAACATTTTTCCTTTTTCTTAATGAAAACCTTCATACCAGTTTGATTAAAATGTTAGAATACCTAATTGTGGCCAATTCATATTTCTTGCTGAACTTATCTGGCTTATTGGTCAACATTTGTACTGAGCAGTCTCCTATTTTAAGGACAAAAGCCCAGAAGTTTGTTTTTCTAAATGAAATATACCCATTTGCATTGATTTTGTTGGCCAGTCAGACCATTTTTGTCCAATAATAGTAGATAAAAACGTATTTTGAGACCTCCCTTGTGCCTAATAGTATGATTTATTATCACAAACATAAATTCAAATCTCCAACTATTCTTTGCCCTGATCATAACTTTTAGGAGTGAGCACATTTACTTTTAAATTACTTGATTTAGATATTATAGAGAAATTGATTTAATTAAAGATAATAGTATCACTCTGTGCCTCTAGAATGACTACAAGGAGTTAAAAAAAGATTACAGGCTTACAAATAAAGGCTCCTCCATTTCTTACATATGGAATATATGCTTGTCAAAGAGAAGACAAGGCAATAATTCAGAGGTAGTGAAGTGATACTGATGGACTCCAGCCACAATCATCAATTTATTTGAAAACAAATTTCCTGACATTTACTGAATTCTCAAGTTTACTTGGGTTTGTTTGTTTTTTTGGATGATGGACGCTCTTCCAAACAATAAATTAGTAGCATAAAATGTTACCCATTATCTGTATTTTCTGAGGAAGATTTGGGGCCTATTGTGGCCTTCTTGTAAATAAAGATGATGCCAAAAGCTGGTGCTTGTCTTTCCAGCATTCTTTTTTTAATTCAGAAGAAGCAAAATGCTGCTGTGTTCCTTCCCAGTCCCTTGAAGTTGACAGATGAACAGCACAAAAATAGTGCTTTGACTTCAGCTTTTTCATTTGTTCATAACGTTCAAAGTTCCTCAACAGCTTTCATGTGCCTGAATGATCTTTTATGGTTATATGGTTAACAGTTGTGTGATCAGACAGGTGTATGAAGGTCTGTTTGCCTTGGAAAGATTAACCAGCACCCATTTTAGCAGAAACCAGGATCAGATAAACAAGAATAATCAAAGAAGAAGAAAAAAACTTCATTCAAAACAACAACAATCAGGAAGAAACAGTAATCTAATCAGAGTAGAACAAGCTATCACATATAAACAGTCAACAAACTTTATTTTGCCATGCGTTGATGCTGGTACCTAGCCTACAGAAGGGGAAGCAAGCTCAATAAACAGCAAGAACCCAACACTTATAAACTTAACAGACATCCATCCTTAGATCCATTAGCAAAGATGTGGGAACCTGTGGGCTACATGTGACTCTGAGGTATCTTTTCTATAATCCTTGGAATAGAAACATGTTCCTAACATGAAATTTGGCACCAAATGACAATTTGACAAGATTTTTCATAGTTCTCCCATGAAATAAAGTGTGTCTCTTGTCCCTCGGATGAATAACAGTTTTTGTCTTTTATAACAGCATATCCAGAGCTCCTAGAAGGAGAGGTGCATCTATCATCAAGGCAACAGAATAATTATTCTTTGTCCTTTAGAGTAATTCTAATTTTGGCTTCATCACTATGATAAACTTCACTTGAATAAATTTGTGTATGCTGCCAGGACTTTTGACTGCCTCATTGTCTTTTCCAGATTGGATGCAGCCAATTAGCCCCAACATGGAATTACATTTCTGTTTATTACATTTAACATTTCAGTAGATATAGTTGCCTTTGAAGTGATTTCACTTATAAATGGTTTTGATATAATAGGAGGCATTTTTCTGGATAAATATTCCATGTGTTTGTCTCATTTAAACATTTTTTTTTGGTTGCCATAGGCTATACACATGCTGTAAAGTTAAAAAAGATTGCAACCCATCTTAACTTATTTAAGATTCTTCAGAGAGAGACTTAGTCAGTAACAGAGCTTGCTTTGCACGTAGACCAGGGATCTCAAATTCAAATTGTCTCGAATGCCATATTAATGCCATATTAGTTTGTTAGCCTGAAGACTGCAACTGTGAAGTTCTATTCTTATATTGATTCAAAATCTCTAGTGAGTCAAACAGGGAGAAAATAAAAAGTATAATAATATGTTATTAAACATACACTTATTAAATAAACTATTTTTTACTGCAAAGCACTACTTGTGAATAAGAGCTGCATTATAGCCATTTCACTTTGACCATTTGGCTGGCAGTGTTTTCTACTAGCTAAAACACCATCTTATGTACTGTACATGTGGGTGGGTATATTTCAAGATCATATCTAGGACAACAGAATCCAAGAAACCTGTTCTAGAACTGTCTAAATCTTCTTTGCTTGCTTGTCTCAGCATCATTTATGAGCAGCCAAGGAGGAGGTCCAGGGGTGGCTGTCTCTGTTGGACAAGGAATGGGAAAGATAGTGCCAAGCAAGCAAGATTTGTTTCTTACACAAAGACAGCAGAGAGCCACACCTGGACCTCCTCCTTGGCTGCTGCCTCCTCTTCCCCCTTGGTCAAGCCCTGTCTGCTTTGCCCTACTTGGGCCTCCTTGCTCTTCCAACCCAAAGACTTGGTGCAGTCTTAGTGCTGCTTGCTTGCAAGAAGTCTCAGGGTTTTGACAATGTAGCCTGGCCTGCCAGGAACTACTTTTCCTGGGAAATCTGCTGAGGTAAATTGAAGTGAGACCCTCTACTGCTGTTCTTCCAGGAGAATCTCCCATGGCCCCCTCAGAGCCCCAGCCTTTTCATCAGTATAGGTGCCTCCAAAATATTGTGAGTCTCAGAAAATGACTTGCAATCCACGGGCCACGTGATGGAGAGTCTTTATTAGACAGTTTTTAATTCAGTCCTGGGCCAGTCCACAAAAGTCTGGAGAAGAGCATCTGAAATTTTGGAAAAATGTAGCTAAAAGAACCAATCCTCTGTCTGTAAGTTACTTTATGTGTTTCCAAGATTGTGTAACAGGAAAAAATAAAAGAGTAAAAAAAAAAAGTATGTGTGGCCTATATACTAACAAACAAATCCTTTTCCTTATTATTGGTACCCTTACTCACATGGTGAGTGATGTTTATTTTCGATCTTTTATTTTTGGCCTCTCTTATTCTAGGATTTGCAGTTGCTACCGCTTTGCTTCTTTCCCCCCCCCTCACCTTTATGTTCTCTCTACAGCTAATTAGCTTCTGTCACTCCACTTGCTTGTCTAGCATTCTCTGCAGTTTCATGCTTTTTCCCATCTGATCTTTCTAACTTCTCTCCTTTCCAAAGATTCCTGTTGCCAAGCAACAATTTCCTGTACAATGTGTTTATTGGAGTGGTCCCTTTCAATCAGAAATCTACAAATTCTTTGTGCAGCTTGAAATCATTCAAAAAATTTGTGGCAGGTTGTTGATACTCATGGAGGGTTGCATCAGGGTTGTGTTTCACCTCGGGGGGCCGGGATGGGCGTGGCCAGGGTGAGTGTGGCCAGCATAATGTCACTTGTGTTGGGCACCTGTGATGGCTCGAGCGCTCTGCCAGTGAAAACAGACTCCCGAGCTCTGTTTTTGGCTGGGATGGCCTTCTGCAACCCTCTGCCAGCGAAAATGGAGCTTGGGAGATCCACAGGCAGCCTTCACAAGCTCCATTTTCACTGGCAAGGTACTGCAGGCCAGTCCTTTGCTGTTTCCAGGATGGTCCTGTGGGCCAGATGAAAACACCCTGCAGGTCAAATCCAGCCCCGGGCCTTGAGTTTGACACCCCTGCTCTAGAGACTTACATAAGTTCATTCATGGTGGTGTTTTTACTACCAAATCTTGCCCCAGTTGTAAACTCATCTGTTTATGTTAGTAATGTGACTTAGTGGAATATAGGGGCAATATAGATATACAGATAGTCCTCCACTTATGACCACATTGAGCTCAAAATTTCTGTTGCTAAACTAAACAATTGTTAAGACAATTTTGTCTCATTTTATGACTTTTCTTGCCACAGTTGTTAAGTGAATCATTGCAGTTGTTAAGTTACTAACAAGGTTGTTAAATGAATGGTTTCCCCATTGAGTTTATTTGTCAGAAGGTTGCAAAAGGTGATTACATAACCCCAGGATACTGCAAAAATCATAAATACATGTCAATTGCCAAATTTTGATCATGTGACTGGGAATGCTTCAATGGTCCTAAGTGTGAAAAATGGTCATAGTCACTTTTTTCAGTGCTGTTGTAATTTTGAACAGTCACTAAATGAACTGTTCTATTTCAAGGACTACCTATATATTTATATAGATATGACCAGTGGTGGGATTCAAATAATTTAACAACCGGTTCTCTGCCCTAATGATTTCTTCCAACAACCAGTTCACCAAACTGCTCAGAAAGTTGACAACTGGTTCTCCCGAAGTGGTGCAAACTGGCTGAATCCCACCACTGGATATGACATGTCATCTGAATGGCATTAGAAGCTCAATTCTCCCATTTTATACCATATCCATCAGCTAAGAGGCAGTATTTCTTTACATTTCTTTGAGTGGCAGGTTTCATTTACCTAATCATCCTAAAATGGCCTTTTTCTATTTGTCAGAGAAGGGAAGTTGGAAATCACTTGAGAGGGTTATGCTATATTCACTTCCTGACGAAAGAAGATAGAAACATAATGAATTAACCAAAAACATTGTCTTTTTTGAATTTTTAAAACCATAGGTTATAAAAGTCTACAAAGCCACAGTTCAACAAACCTTGGACATTATGTTTCTCCGTGAAGGAAAAGAATTTTTTACCAGCACTGATGCAGTGAGCCAAGATTCAGCTGATCGCACCATCATTGCCTGGGACTTCCAAACTGCTGCAAAGATCTCCAATCAAATTTTTCATGTGAGATAGATATTTACTTTCTTATTTATTATGAGAGTTCCTATATTTCCATATATGAAAAATTTATCATGAACAGCAATCTGTTTGGGAAGCAGTTGAAAGAACTTTGTTGTGTTTCTAAAATGATCACAGAATAGGATGACTTTAGAAAACTCAAGTACAGCCCAAAGTCAGTTGAACCTCTGTAGAAACAGCATAGTAGTCATGTACTTCAGTTCACTGCATGTTTATTTGGAATGTTTATCTACTCCAAGAAATGTCTTGGAATTATAATTTTAACAAAGCTGTGGTCTTTGATTTAAGACATTATTATTGTGCCAGGAAAGTAAAGCTTTCTTTGTCTCAAACCATCTACCCAAGTATTAAAGATATCGTCAGAGGGCTTTCTCTAAGTCTACATACTATCAGAAGCTAAGCAATTGGTTCTTGGAGTGACACCTTTTTTTTTTTTTTTTTGCATAAACATTTTCTCCAGCTTTGTATCTCAAGTGAAGACCATTTTTGCTGAGTCATTTGCAGACAATTGTATTGTAATCTGCTTCCCACCGCCTTCCCATGATCCTTATTTGAACTGCTTTTCTTTCTGTAGTCCCTGATGGTAGTGTGTGATCTTCAAAAGTTGAACAAGGTCAGAGCTGATTAAAACTTGGCGGAAAAATCATCAGAAATCGTAAAAAAAAAAAAAAAGAGAGAGAGAGAGAGAGAGAGAGAGATTTGGGAAATACAAGGCAGAGAGGAAGGAAAGGTTATTTGGGGACTTTCTCACAGAATGGATAATCATTCTTTTGTTGAAGAAAAGTCTTTCACAAATGAAGGCAAATATACATGCCCCAGGATAATGTTGCAAGATTAAATCTGGGTCAGTTACTGGGACCAGAGGTTTACTTTTCCGAGCTTTTTGACTCATGGTGGAGGGCATCTTCAGGGAACATTTCTCTACTGGAATATGTGCTTTGGGTTATTCTGTGAGTTGTATTTATGGGCTGCCTTCCTATTGGTTGATTGGTGTGTTGATGGCTGGCAATTGGTTGTTTCTTTGTAACCACCAGCTTATCAGGTACTTAGGAGCAGAGGGTTTGGCAGCACAAGGAAACAACAGCCAATCGCCCGCCATAAACACAGCAATCAGCCTATAGGAAGGCACCATATAAATACAATTCACAGAATAGCCCAAAGTACATACTGTATGTCACAGAAGTGAGTACACCGCGTCACATTTTGTAAATATTTAAGTATATCTTTTCATGTTGACAACACTGAAGAAATGACACTTGGCTACAATGTAAAGTAGTGAGTATACAGCTTGTATAACAGTGTAAATGTGCTGTCCCCTCAAAATAATGCAACACACAGCCATTAATGTCTAAACTGCTGGCAGATGATGAGAAAGACTGTTTGAGACCTGTTACAATAAAGGCAGACTAGTTAATATTGAACTGGAGAAACAAATATTTTAAAAAAGAATTCTGCAACTAAACCGTTTAAAGATAGTTTTTAATTTTCTTTGATGTATGTAGGCTGTGCCCCCTGTGAGACTTGAGAGATATTTGAGGGTTTAAAGCCCTTCTCCCTGGCATCCAAAACTCATATCCTTCTATTAAAAAAAGAATATACGGCAGTGTTGTATATGCATCACGCCCGCACAATTGCTTCACTTGTGTGTGCGCGCACTCTTCTGCGCATGCGCAGATCACCTATGATGATCCAGGTCAGTGGGCGGAGCCTCCTGGTCTTGCGAACCGGTCCAAACCAGGGGCAACCCACCACTGGTATGCATGTATATACTCATTTAGAGAGCCTTATTTCTGTGTCTTGTTGAGGGAAAGATTTGGAGCTTTAGAATAACTAAGGCATTATCTACTGTCAAGCCTAAACATGTGAAGAAGACTTCTTTGAAGATGCTGTCCATTTAATGATTTTAAAAAGAGGTCTTATACATTTCTTAGGGAAGGATACTAATCTCAATTATAGCCGAACCTCTGTATAAAGTCAGTGCAAGTTTAGTCTCTTTTGAAATGCAAAGAATAAAGTCAGTTGGTATCCATTCAGTTTTGAAAAGGAGAAATTCTGCCCAGGTAGAAAGTGGAGTGTATGATTTAATAACACGTTCCTATCACCATCTTCCAAGGTGGCCTTTGTCCAGTTTTGCAGATGTACAGTTCTGTGTAAAAGCTGTTGTAGTTGATTTGGCATTAGCACTTCAAAAGGAAAACAGTTCAGTGAATAAAAAACTGCAGTGTGCTCAGTTTTGATGTATTTAGAAACTTTTACAAGATGATTTTCTCTGGAGAGGAGAATGGGGTAGTTTAATACTCTCCCCAGAGGAAGTATGAATTTGAGAAAAATATCTCACTTTATAATGCCTTGGTAAGACCATACTTGGACTACTGCATCCAGTTTTGGTCGCCACAGTGTAAAAAAGATGTTGAGCCTGTAGAAAGAGTGCAGAGAAGAGCAACAAAGGTGATTAGGGCACTGGAGGCTAAAACATATAAAAAACGCTTGCTGGAATTGGGTATGTTTAGTTTAATGAAAAGAAGGGGTAGGGGTGACATGATAGCAGTGTTCCAATAACTCAGGGGCTGCTGCAAAGAAGAGGGAGTCAAGGTATTCTCCAAAGCATCTGAGGGAAGAACAAGAAGCAATGGGTGGAAACTAATCAAGGAGAGAAGCAACCTAGAACTAAGGAGAAATTTCCTGACAGTTAGAACAATTAATCAGTGATACAACTTGCCTCCAGAAGTTGTGAATGCTCCAATACTGGAAGTTTTTAAGAAGAGATTGGACAATCATTTGTCTGAAATGGGGGTTGGACTAGAAGATCTCCAAGGTCCCTTCCAATTCTTCTATTCCAGTGATGGTAAACCTTTTCAGCACTGAAAGCCCAAACCGGAACGCACAGGCATTTGCATGCATTTGCACACGCCAGTCAGCTGGTCTTCAGGTTTCCGGCACCTGCATGTGTGCCGGTCAGCTGGTCTTCGCACCGGAAACCCGAAGACCAGCTGGCCGGCATGCACGTCTGTTTTTCGCCATTTTTTGGGCTGTTTTCAGGTCGTTTTCTGGTGCCTGTGAAGACCAGTTGGCGCAGAAGAGCAGCTGGCAATGGTGCGCGTGCCCCCAGAGAGGGCTCTGTTCTGTTCTGTTCTGTTCTGTTATTCTCGTCTCCTCTCCTCTCCTCTCGTCTCCTCTCCTCTCCTCTCCTCTTCTCTTCTCGACTAGACATTTTCTGGCTTCAACAAGTGGTCAAGAAGAAATGAAGCCTGGCACTTTGCATATAAAAAGCAAAGGCTCTGAAGCTCAGTTTTACAACAAACTTTGTTTAGAAACATTTTCCATTCAGAATGGGACAACTCGCTGTGGCCAACTCGCCATAGTCAACTCATTGTGGCACAACTCGCTGTGGGACAATTCAATAAGGGATAACTCAAGAGAGGGACAAGTGAATTCCAGTGGGCCTTGTCTTGCTTTAGGTTTGAACCTTCTCAAGTTAGAAGTCCTCAAGTCTCCACACTCAGGCTCACCCCAGCTTCTCTTGAGTTATCCTGCATTGAATTGTCCCACAGGAAGTTGGCTGCAGCAAGTCAGCTGGGGCAAGTTGGTCATGGTGAGATGGATGGAGCAAGACTGCTGGCGTGTTATCCTAGACCCTTTTCCATTTCTATTGTATTTGCTATTTTCAGGGATTGCTAAATTTTGCTAAAGCATTGCTAAAGCATTGTTTTCTGTTTTTTCACAAGACATTTTGTGTGAATTTGTAGCATCCTCAGAATAAACGTATGTGCTGTAGATAACATTTAAGTATATCAGTGACCCCTGAAAATTTTCACTTATTTGGGGATGGTGAACAACAAGGGAAGGAGAAATTTCATTAATATTTCTGTTTTATTCTCCAACAGGTTAGTTTTATTTTCCAACAGGTTAGGAATAGAGCTAAAATGAATTTCCTCAGAACATTCCTGACTGAGAAATTTTTGCCCAGTTAATACTGAATACAGTGATATTTTCATACAGATATGTTATTGAGAGAAGTTGAGGCCTTAAAACAAATTAATAAGAGTCAAAGTCATAGTAACTACTTTCTTCATTAATAAGTATTGCTTTGTGTCTCAGATGGTTTACTCTGTTGTGATAAAATGTAGGTTAGTAGAGTTCATAAAATATTATCCACAAGGATTAAGTAAATCTGCAATGGTTCATATGAGCATAAGGAGAGACACACATTTTCAGACAATGAAATCTATTTTCCAAAACATTTCAATTTAGCTTAATTTTCTGTACACTCCGTTATTAGCAATATATGGAAATTCCTAGGTGAGGCAGGTGGAAATAAATTCTTTTTTTTTTGCAGGGGTAGGGTGGGGGTTCAATTGTTTCAGGTTTGGTTGCAGTAGACAGACTACCTTTTTGTGTTGAGACATTGTTTGTATAAGCATTTTTGCCAGCCTCTAAAGGTTGAAGATGGCGTTATAGTGATGCAGATATATCACTGAATAGGAAAGGGTAAACATTTATTTGAAGGATTTGAGGTTTTATTTTAAAAATAAAATAAATACATAAAATTGGAGAATTGATATTAGGGCTGTGTAGCACTTTGGAAATAATTCAGAAGAGAGGTTTTGGAACATGTGGGAGCATGAGTGCAGCGCTTGTCACAACTGTGCTTTTTCTTGGAATCGTGCAGTTGCTCTCTACAGCTGCCATGTGATCCTGGGGGAAGAATGGCAAGCAAGACCTTATTGTCTATCCCCTCCCTTGCATATTAGGGCATATTTTTGGATCTGAATCTAAAGCACAATCACAATCTTTCTTGACACCCCTACATCATATTCTAAACCTGTTGTTGGATCACCAATTTTTTTGAAGGTGTTGATTTGGGGAGAATCTTGAGGGCCACAAACAGAGACTGGTATATCATATGACCTGCAAGCATATATAGTTTGATTCAGAGTCTGTGAACATTTTCTTTCTAATTTTCTTTGCAGGAACGTTTTACCTGCCCCAGTCTTTCAGTTCATCCTAAAGAGCCTGCCTTTGTTGCTCAGACAAATGGCAACTACATGGCTTTATTTTCCAGCCTGCCACCTTATCGAATCAACAAAAAGAAGAGGTTTGAAGGGCACAAGGTATCAATGGGTTTTATTCCTTTTATGTGCCAAATTATGTTACTGCTTTTCAATAGGGATACAATTAAATAGACTTCAGTTCTACTGTCTGTAGTTTATTTAATGTAGAATTTAAATTGCAGTAAAGTAACTAAAAGCATTATTAGTTAGTAACTAGACAATCCGTGACCCCTTGGGTCATCATTTCAGAGATATTTCCTTACCAGATTCTTCAGTGACTTCAACAGTGATAGTATTTCTAACACACTGCCTTGAAAATAGTCATGTTGATCTGTATAGCAAACATATTTTATGACATTTTGTATTATGTCATAAACTGTTTTATGATCATATTTGTCATAAAAGATTTTAGAAAATTAGCCAAATTTCAATTCCACAGGAATCCTGAGTCCCAGATTTTGGGTTTATTATGAGAGTGAACCCATTTGAGGTTCCTTGGTTTAATAATTGGTGCCTTATAATGCAATATTTCACCCAGTTAAAGGTTACAGAAAGAGTTTTAGTGATAGATGATATATATATATATATATATATATATAGAGAGAGAGATGATAGAGACAGACAGACAGACAGACACACACACACACACACACACACACACAGAGAAAGGCTTGTCTCATATTCAGCAACTATTGTTAACAATGACAAGTCTAAAATGGGGCCATCTTATTAAATACCTAGGGAAGTGATAAAGCCATTATGGTACAAATTGACATGTTTATTATAGTGTAAAATTTCAGGAAGCTATAGATCATATTGTAATTCATTAATGAACATCTTGATTTATTTACTCTTAATTCTTGACTCAAACAGGTTGAAGGATTTGCTGTAGGCTGTGAATTTTCACCCGATGGAACACTTCTTGTGACAGGGAGTTCAGATGGAAAAGTATTTTTCTACAATTATCGTACAGCTCAAATTCTCCATACCATGACAGCACATAGTCAAGCCTGTGTGAATGCAGCCTACCATCCAGTCCTTCCATCGCTCCTTGCCACCTGTGCCTGGGATGGGATAATCAAGATCTGGCAATAATAGGAAAGTTAGATAGCCAACTTCGTAAATATACTTTTTTTCCTTGTAGTTTCATTTCTTAGAACTTTTATGTTCTGTATAGTGGTATACCAAACGAGTGCTTCTCAACGCCAGCGACTTTATGATGTGTGGACCTCAAATCCCAAAATCCCCCAGGCAGCATGCTTGCTGGGGACTTTTGTGAGTTGGTTAACATATTTAGAGTAGCTAAGATTGAGGAATACAGTATTAAACCAATTTTACTGTAATGTGACTACGTGAGGCAGGAAATATAAAATTCTCCAGTCACGCTACATAAATAATTAATTTGCCTGGTGCCGTTTTTGACTCATACTTTGCCCTTAGCTGTTACCCTTCTCCAAAGAGTTTTTTTTGATACTGTTGGAGCTGCAGTATTCTTTTAAACAGCTGTTAAATATATAGCTACTACTAGCTTTCTCCAAGTTTTTGTTGCAGGGAATTAGGACAATATGAGCTAGATTGAAAAAGGAATTAAAGATTAACTGAAGCCCTAAATCTATATGTTCTGCCTGTTTTAATTGGATGTGCAATGCACAAATTTAATGGATAGAAGTAATTAAAAGAAATTCAATATCATTCCAAATTCTTCCGGCTGCCTAGATTTTTTTAATCACTCTTGTGTTACTAAATCACCACTCTTAGATTAAAACTTAACTATTCTTTAGCTTCCGTCACTGCTTTACCCTTGTACTATTACTTAATCCTGCAGGCTTTTCATCCAATTTTAATGGAGTCACACTATGCTAGAACTGGTGTAGCTATGAAGGCTTTTCTGAGTAATGTGGTTAGGGGGTCCTTGGTGATCTCTCAGCTTGCTTGTTTTCTTACAGATGTACTAGCACTGATTATGTTGCCTAATTAGGGTAATGAAACACCTGCAAGAAAACAAGCAAGCTGAGAGAGCACCAAGGACCCCTCATTTCAACCCCAAGGTACAAATATTTTCCTTTATTGGTAATGTGGTTAGGATCTGATTCTGATATCTTTATGGTCACATGAAGCTCAAAGAGATTTGGATGCTTGAGAATCTCCATAAAGATTTATGACAATATATATGTAGGTTGATACTTGCAATAAAAAAAAATCTCAACGATTTGCTTATATATAATTTTAAATAGTTTTCTTATAAACTATTTTATAACATATAACTATTTACAACCCTAGAAGCAATAGCATTTCTAGCTCCATAGCTATTTCTAGTTTGCTAAGCTCAAGGATATAGTATGCTTCTTTTCCCAAGATCACACTTTTCTTCCTGATTGGGAGCTGATATATTTAATTATAATAACGGAACAGTTTTTGTTGGTGCCTTGCATTAATGTAAAACTTACTCTGAAGGAACACATTAGTTTTCTACAGGATGTAAGAAGAGGAGAGTAAAGAGTTTTGTTGCTCCATGGAAAAATATTGCAGGTAGCCCACCAGGGCCACACCTAATAATTATCTTTCACATACGGTAGCCAGGAACAGAATCACTTAGAAAATGTATCTGGTTTTTCTTTGTAAAATACAGAGTGTAATTTTATATTTTGCTAAAATGTGCAAAATAATATACATGTTACATATATAATATAATGTTACATAAAAATTAAAATTTCAAAGTACCCAAAATGTAACTTAAAAGTTTCCTGTTGTAAATATATTTTTCTAAAATACTAACTTGTAAAGTACTCATTATCAAACCTCTTTGTATATTTTTATTGACTGAATGTATCTATTGATCAGCTTTCCTGTGCACAGCAAGACAAGCATTCACTAAGATTAACAGTCTTTTATTTTTTAAGTTGTTTTAACTTAACATGCATTTAATAAGTTTCCTGAAACATACATTTTAACAGAATTTTTATAATTCTTGGTCAATGATTGCCTTGTTTGAAGTTACAGTCACACTGAAAAAGTTACTTTATGACTGGTTCCCAAACTGTGACCATCACAATATCTCAATGGTCACTTGATTCCCATTTGTGCACTTTACAGCTGATTTCCAACAAGCAAAGTTAATGAAGAAGCCACCTGTGAAATTGCAAGTTGCAGTAATGAGATGATTCACTTAATGACCATGTCATTTAATGACGAAGTTGCCAGTCCCAATTGTGGTTGTTAAATGAGGACTAACTGTTCTTCCCTAGGAATATGACGTGGAGTTCTGTATTTCTTTTATTTTATTGTTTTAAGGTAATCACTTAGTGTAACACTTATCTCTGAAGAATTGTCAGAGCTACTTATAATTTAATATAAAAGCATAATAATAAAATGCCATTAAAAGAATCTTCTTCCAAAAGCAGCAACTGGGCTAACCTGAAATCTGTGGAGTTATTTTGTAGAGTGAGAGCACTTTCTGTATGCCTTTCAGTCTCAGTGTAGCTATAGTTCGAAATCCAAGAAACCAAAATTGAGATTAGATAAGGAAACCAGTGGTACCCCAAGAAGGTAGGAAAGGGCTGTGTTGTCATAAGTATATCACATCTGGGCTACAAAAATCAACAAACTATAAAGGTTACACAAGCAATCCAAACCCTGAAATATAAGTCTATTTGTATGGAAGGGAGAATACCATCTACATTAATAAATCAATAATCTTTGAACCTAAATTGTAAGATTACTACATCCAATAGCCAATGATTTCTGTTTTCCTAATAAATACAATCTTCTCCTAGGCTTCAAGAGGATCTTCAATTCTCTGGATCAAGTTTTTTTATATAAACTATAATTTATATAAGTATAAGGTGCGGAGGGAGGATTGAAGAGAAAGAAATTGTGAACTTTTAAAAAGTAGTGTACTTGTTCTTTTAAGAGTGAACTGATTTATTTTAGTTATTATATCCAGAAAAGTACTTTACTAGTGTACAGTACTTCACCAATAATTATGGTTGGTCCTTGACTCACATTTCCTACATAGAAGTTACTGATTTAATTCTCTTGATAGAACACTTCATCACTCTGTATATACAATTCAAGTAATGCCACTTTGGAATTATTCTAGATCAATCTCATTACCTCAATTTTTTGCAAGTAAGTTTTGGAAAATTCACAGTGTACTTAATAATGTTGCACTTCAGAGGTTGTCAATCTTTTCAGACTATGGGAACCTAGTTAAAAGAAAAATGATTGGAATCGTAGACCAAGAGGAAATGTTCCAATGATAGAATTATTTATTTAGTGTGTCGCAAAAATGTTAAACATCACATCACAATTACATTCTCAATGAGCAAATGTGAAACTGTTTACTCTCTTTACAAATTCAAAGGTAGACTCTTTATCTAGTCAATACATGATGGAGTTGCATACAGAAAGTTTCTGGGGTTTCCCTGATGTTTGGTGCTCAAAAGCTTGTTCGTTTTCCTGCAGATGTTTCATTACCCAAATTAAATTTATATTTACCAACAAAGAAATAAAGGGAGATTAGTATAGATCTATTTCAAGCCATTTAGCTCTTGTCAGATAGCCATACCTTCTGAGATTCGAACCCTAGCTGCTTACATATTATGTAGATGTATTGACCTCTAAGCTACAGGCACTCCTTGCTTTGTCGGCTATACGAGGGGAAAGATGGTTTTTTATCAGGGCAACCTGGTCTACCCAAATATGGGACAAAAGTGGAAGCAGTATGCTCCGTCCCATATTTGGTTAGACCAGGTTACCATGATAAAAAACAATTACCCAAATTAGGTAACACAACTGATGATGTTACCTAGTTTGGGTAATGAAACCTCTGCAAGAAAACAACCAAGATCACCAACGACCTCTGATTTGAGCTACAAATTCTCTACAATTCTACAATTTTTCCCCATTTATGGAGGAGACTACAGTAGTGAACCTGACATGTTGAGTCCTAGTCTTAGTGAGCATTGACTAGGTTTTATGGGGTAGATTCAGTGGTGGATTGCCCCCGGTTCGCACCGGTTCTATAGAACCAGTAGTCAAATTGGCGGGAGGCTCCTCCCACCGACCCTGACGTCATCAGAACACTTCTGCGCATGCGTGTGGCCCCATGGCAAACCGATAGTAAAGGTAAGTAGAACCCACCCCTGGGTAGATTGAATCTTTTTGGTTCAGCTGTAAAACAGGGAACATTGTGACAGTCTGGAGGAACAGTAGAGGACCATTCTTGTGCCCAGGCTGAAGCAGATAATGATATTCTAATGATAGAAATTGGCAGTAAAGCAAAAAAATAAAACTGATTATTGTAACTGCAAAATTAACATTTTGAATGTGCAAAAAACAAAACTTTAATTTCACAATTAATTTGGGAGATTAATGCTTTAACCAAATAGATCAATATTCAATTATTAGGTGTGATTGCATTCCTTGGAAAAAAAAGTTCAATTTTGGAATAATTGATGCTACTTGTAAGCAGAGATCATCTTTTATACTTAGTCTGTTTCTGTGCTGGCTTGTTGTCTTTCAAAGATATGTTATTGCAAATGGCATAAGATATTTCAGTCTTGACAGGCAATATTTTTTTTAGAAGCTCTAGCCAGAAAATCTGCATAAGGAAATGTGGTTTACAATGTGAAATTAGTTAAAGTGGATCTACGTTGTTTCTTCTTTAATGGTAATTCAGATGCAGTATAGTCAATATAATGATTCTGGACCTGGTTAATTTTTTTTTATTTTAAAGGAGAAAATACACCCTTCCTGTGGCACATAAATCAGATAGGTGTTATATCACCAAGGTTTTGACATTTTCCCTGAGGGAAATTTTGTTTGGAAGATTTGGAAAGCGCATAAAATTATTTTAGAAATATACTCACTTCAACGTGTACCTTTAAACTGAATTGCATTCATTTGACTTTGACATTTGAATCTAGCTATATGTATATCTTGCAGTGAAATACTAGTATCATTCAGATAAGTAAATATAGCAGCCAAGTATACAATCTTTTGCACCCAACAATTGCCACTCAATTTCTGCGCTAGTTCAAAAGAATGTTCCTATTAAAAAGAAATATTCTTAACTGCTTATAAAAGGAAACCAATATTTGCTGTGAAACAGTCATCTCACTTCAATATAACAAGAGCAATGTGTTCTCTAGACAGCACAACACAGTAAATGCCTTAGAGTTGACTGGTCTTGCTTTTTGTAAGATTCATGATTTTAACTGCCTTGTTGGGTACAATCCTGAGTTCTGTTGGCATGTATTACAAATAAATAACAAGACAGCACTGATTATGCTTAATAGGCGGAGCTGTATTTTTCATGTGGGTCTCACTATCTGACATTATTCTGACTGTAACTGCTGTTCCACCATTGCATATACAGTACTGCAATACAAATGCAGTATATTTTGTGGGGGTTTTTTTCCATAAATGTAAAATAGATCAATGTAACTATTCATTTCCTGTAGTTCAGGTAGGAAAAGGTTTGCAAATAGGCATATCTTCTTCCACAGATGAGTCAGCACCAGCACAACACAAGATTAATACAGAAAGATTAATACAGCTGAAAACATTAGTGGATTTAACCATTTGAACAGAGAAACCTGTAGTACTCTTTTTAATTGTTTTCTTTTCAGAAAATTTGACATATCCTTGAGGCTATTAACAAAGAGTAGCATACACAACTGACTTTTATGAAATGTTTCAATTAATCATGCAGAGATCACCAAGCTTAAAGTTTTTAATCAACTATTCTGCAATAATATGAGCTTTACCTGCTTTTGCTATGTGATAAATGATTAAATAAGAAACTGGGCATTTTTTGATACACAAAAATGTATCAAGTGCCTTTTATTTGGAATTCATTTGAAATAACCAGGATTTAATTTCAGATTTTAATGTTTGGTGTGCAAATATCTTCATAATTTTGCAAGATTCATACGGTTGTCTAATCCTTGCTCACATTCAACACACAATCCACTTGATTTGTCTTCCTTGCAGCTTCAAGCTCTCATATTTACAATTTCTGGTTTTGTGCTTGAGCTTAATTTCTCAATTCTTATGGTATAAGAATTACAATAGCACCAACACCAGCAGCATCGGAGTTTGTTTTGATTTCTTTTGTTTTCACATTTTTCTATACTGCATGCGGTTGTACCAGTGTGAAACTGATGATCCATAGCTGGAAAAATATACATAACATAAATATTTATTAGGCCTAGTAAAAAAAATGCATATACGGAAGATATGACAATTTAATTCTGTGAATCTGAAAAATTATGCAGGAAAATCACCATTTGTGCATGCTCATAAAGTAGACAGTAGTGAAATTAAAGGAGAGTGTTTTATTTTTTTTGTATTTTTATATTGTTGATATCTTGCTAAAGCCACTAAGCACTCATCTTCTATCTGTGTAACTTCACAAATGCAAATCTCTAGGTTTACTCCAAAGAATCCCCTTGACAGATATTTTTATAGTTTGTGCCTTCCTTGCAGGGTGGGTGTACTAATATTCTTTGTTACTTCGTAGCTGCCTGTTTGCCCTACACTGAGCCTATTCTTTGTTCCTGGTTTTTAGGGAAAAAAACCTTTAAAAGCCTGTGGTTAGTGTATGTGGCCAGGGAATTCCATTTTCTGGTGCCCAATAAGATAGTCGTGATATTTTCTGGTGTTCAATACAGATAGTCCTCTACATGCAAGAGTTCATTTAGTGACTGTTCGAAGTTACAACGGCACTGACAAAAGTGACCTATAACCGTTTTTCACGCTTATGACCATTACAGCAGCCCCCATGGTCACATGATTAAAATTCAGAGACTTAGTAAACTGACTCATATTTATGATGGCTATTAGTGTCCCTGGGTCATGTGATCATCTTTTGTGATCTTCTGACAAACAAAGTCAAGGGGAAGATAGATTCACTTAATAACTGTGTTACTAACTTAACAGCTCCAGTGTTTCACTTAAGAAATGTGGCAAGAGGGGTTGTAAAATGGAGCAATTTAACAAATGTCTCACTTAGCAACAGAAATGTTAGGCTCAGGTGTGGTCATAAGTCAACTACCTATATCTGTATCTACCTTTTGCTGCCTTGTGATGAGGGTCAAACCTACTCCTCCTCTGAGCTCCTTTGGTTATAAAGTAACTATGCTGATTGGTTACCTTATAGGCCACTGGCTAATTAGGTATCCTTTCTTCCACCACTACTAAAGTGAAGACTTTAAACCAGTTTCAATCTTTCACACCATCCTTCTGGGGAGCCAGAAGAGGATTGAAGGGGAAATCCTTGCCCCAACTTTGGACTGGCCAAACACCAAAGGGAAACCAAACCAAAACAAAACTTTAGGAATCTGTACCTCTGGCAAGCTAATAAAAGGTGACGAAAGGCAACCAGTTGGAATTGTA